GAAAGAAAGAAAGAAAGAAAGAAAGAAAGAAAAGCAACAAATCTAAATCTCCCTCAAAGGAGACTGATGAATTATATTCCAAAAGTAAATGTTAAGCAGCTAGTGAAAAACACATGAGGTGGATATGTATATGCTGATATGTGAAATGATGTACAATATATTAAGTGGGGAAAGCAAGCTACAGAGCAACATAGCCAGTGTGATTTCATTTATGGAAAAAGAAGTGTTTACACCTCTATAAGTATGTGTTTCCAGCTCTATTTTACTTGCATGGAAAATATCTGGAAGGATACTTCCCAATGGCTCATGGTAATGACCTCAAGACTGAGAGTTGGGGAAGAGAATAGGAAAATGGGGAGATTTACTTCATAAACTTCTACAACATTTGACTTGCTTTTCAAAAGCATGCATTGCTTCCATCATAAAAATTAATTTTTAAAAGCCTCACACGCTTTTAAACACATTTATTCAATGCCTATAATGTGCTGAGCACATGAAGTGGCACATTTAGTATAATAGGAGGACAGACTTAGCAAGGAAAATGGTTAAAGGTCACATAGCATCCACAGTCACATACAGAATGCACTCTAAGCTCTTTGAAGACAGGCTCAGTATCTATGGCAGTGCTTGGTACATAGAAAATATTCAATAAATATTTGCTGAATAAATGGGTGAATGTATGAATGAAGGCATATATTAGGGACCAGAGCCACCTGTGACTCGATATCCCTAACACATTTTCCCCTTCGTGAGCCTAGATTTGTTTACATGAGAAACCAACCTATAGTTTAGATGCTCTGTTATCTCCTCTGGGTGCTTTAAAGTTATTCTGTGACTAAGTCCACATGAAAAGCAGGCACCTGAGGGGTGATTGGGGATGTCACTTTTGAGCCCCATCAGACCAGGTCTGAGGCTGCCACCAGTGTTGTCAGAGCTCCAGTACTTGCAGGGAGGGCAACAATGTAAAGGGTTCCAATGTTGTGCTCTCTGTGCCTTTTGGCTCCTATAATGTTTTTTTTGGGGGGGAGGGGGAAGGTAGGGGGGTAGCAGGGGGCTTGACATTCATTAATTTCAGGTGTGCAGCACCTGACATTTATATAATTCACAAAGCGATCCCCTCGGTTAGTCTAGTACCCACCTGGCATCATATGTAGTTATTACAACATTATTGACTGCATTCCCTATGCTGTACTTTACATTCCCCATGATGATTTTGTAACCACCAATTTGTGCTTCTTAATCCCTTCACCTGCTCCCATTCTGTTTTGAAGACTGTATTCTAGAGAAGTGTCCAGCAAAGCCTGTGGGTGTTGGATCAAATTAGTAACTGCATGTACTAAAGTGCGTTCCCATAAACACATTGATCTCCTAACTCAACCCAACAAGGAGAGCAGCCAAATCTGTTAGGACCCTCTTCACTTGTTACCTAGATTTTATTTTTTCTTATGTCAAATAAGGTGCTCTTCTTTTATTAACACCAATACTGCTCACAAATAACTGTGTTTTTATTTTCACTCCATTTCACTTTAAATTACTGACCCTTGGCTTATTCAAAACTATCAGATATTGGCACCCAACAAAATGTCCAGCTTTTAAAGCTAGTAATCCCCTTCCCTGTTGTAGACATTTGCAGCATCTTAATGCTTGGCTACGACACATTTTCTATGCCATCCACTTTAAACACTTCAGAAGGAAAGGTGGTTTTAGTTTTTTGAACTTTTAAGCTTTGAAGTTTTAAAACACAAATAATTATCATCACACCCATGCATAAAGCTCTTTGGTGATTCCCCACTTCACTTAGCCACATCTCTGAACCATCTTCCCCTCATGGCCCAAACTCCAGCCACTCAACTGTTTTTTCAGTTCCTCCAACTTGCCAAAGTCTCTCCTGCATCAGGCCCTTAGCACATACTGCTTTCCCAAGCCAGAGGACTTCTTTCCTCCACTCCTCTATCCCTCACCAAATAACTTCCTCTTGTCCTTGGGATCTCATATTAGATATCAGTTCCTCAAAGAGCCTTCACTGACCCCCGCCCCCCCCCAGTCTAACCTATATCCCATTCCTGTTATTTTATCTGTGTTTTTTCCTCTGTGGCATTTATTGCACCTTGTATCTATACATGCACTTGTGTTTACTGTTTTAACATCTATCCCTTCATTAGACTATGAACTCCAGATGATGAGAATCATGACTGTTTTGTTGACCAAAGCTAATCTCAATAAATATTTGTTGGTTAAATTAAAAAGTAAAAGAAGGAAGTAAATTTTATTTCCCTTTTAATTATTTTCCATAAACATAAGTTGTGCACAGTAAGTAAGGAGAATTGAGTCCCTGCCTCACTCATATTCCAGGCAGGCTGTCCTGTCTGGGGTGAAATTTGGGGAGGGTTTAGATTTAGGAAAAGGACAGGATTTGGCATATGGGAAATTTCATTAGACCCAATGTAGGACACAAAAAGGTGGTATTCTGAGAGGGGAAAATATGGTTAAAAAGCTAAATAACTGTATTAATGAAGCAAAGGAAGTAGAATACAGAACAGATAGACAGTTGGGCGTGCCGGAGGTTAAAAGGAAGGTAAGGAGAACTTGGGAAAGTCACAAGGGAACAGGAAAGCCAGAGCCATGTTGATCAGGAGAGGAAAGGCTTGTTGAGGCACCCATTTGGATCCTGGAGCAGCGGTTCTCAACCTGTGGGTCACAACCCCTTTGGGGGTCAAACAACCCTTTCACAGGGGTCGCCTAAGACCATCGGAAAACAAAAAGATATTTACATTACGATTCATAACAGTAGCAAAATTACAGTTATAGAAAATAATTTTATGGTTGGGGGTCACCACAACATGAGGAACTGTATTAAGGGGTCACGGCATTAGGAAGGTTGAGAACAGCTGCTGTAGAGGGAGAGAAGAATGTGATGAGGCAAGACTTTGCTCACAAGGAGTTCCTAGGGGGAGGTGAACTCACCTGGAACAAAAGCTTAGATGGGGGGCAGAGGAGAAAGGAGGCAAGGTCTGAGGAAGTAAACTTACAAATCCTGTAGGCTGTTCCACAGTTATTGAGCATCAAGTTCTAAGTCTGGGAGATTAACATTAGAGTACTAATGAGAGACCATAAAGATGAAAGTTATTGCACTGGCAAACAACCAGGGTACCCTTTCACCTTACACAGTGGGATGGCTAGCCCTACATTCAGCCTCTAATAAAGGATAGTCTCTATGTCTAAGAAAATGGCAATGAGCGATGAGTATGGAGCCTGCCAGAGGCCAGGTTGTCCAGTGTCTGTTCTGTTAGCCTGCTGTGTCTTCTGGTGGGTCCTTCAATCCACAATGGTGTCTTGAGACTTGTGTTACTCTCAGTTCCCCGGGGGGACATTGTGTTTCTTTACAAATTGTCTGGGAAAAAAATAGCTTGGTGCCAACCTGAGACCCCACAAAGTGTCAATGGAGAATGCTGGAAACCTCAGCCACGATAATAGACAATGGATATTTATAGGTAATAGATGATATTTATGGAGCATACTTTGTGCCAGGCTCTGTTCTGAGACCCTTATATGTATCGACTTGTTTCATCTTCAGAAAAATCACATGAAATAGTTATTACCTGTTTCCAGAAATGAGGTCCAGAGAGACTGACATCATTCAGCAAAGTGCAAAAGGACTCAAACCCAGAAAATGGACTTCAGAGCTCTGATCATTAGCTCCTTACATCTGTATACACCTCACAATTGACAAAGCCCTTTAGAAGAGATAGAAATATTATCTGATCCTCTCAACAATGCTTAAAAGTGAGTGAGGACATCTTTATTTCCATTGTACATAAAATAAGGAAACTGAGGCTCAGAGACATGAAATTACTGGTGTGTGAAATCAATAGCACTAGTGCCAGCCAACGCAGGGGCTGAAATCTACAACTCCTCACTCCTAAAATGCCCCGCCATCTCTCCCTTCTGCTTTAGGCTGGTTGGTGAGGATTAAATTGCATCTACACAATCAGATATGCAGAGGGATAAAAGCTGCACCGAGGCTTTACTGGGTTTGGCATGAAAGTCCTGATACCTGGAAACCGGACATTATCTCCAGGCTGAAATATGATTTCATACGGCCTGATGTCAAGGAGTATCCGTGGGAAGAGAATAGGAGTCGGAGAAGCTGACCAAGTGAGCAGTATCTAGTAGCCAGCTCCAAACATGACCCTTTCTTGGAGCCTGTCGCCTGTCAGAGTGGCCCCTCTGCGGCAGCAGCCTGGGAAAGTGACCAAAAAGCAATGCAGGATGCAAAGTCAGAGGGGAGGGACTCCAGTCCGAAGCCACCACTGAAACCATTTATTGTCTTTTCTGGCTAACGCCCCTCTTGCCTTCATACCCTCTCTTCCCCGCGTCCCTCCCATGCCATGCCCACGGTGCCAAACGTAATTCAGCCACGAGCCACCGTTCCTGTGTTTCTGTCTCCTTTTTCAATTCCCCAGGAACGAATCAATTGGGGGGGGGGTCGTCTGATGGTTTTCAGTAGCCAGGGCGCTGCGGCTCTGGCCCACATTACCCGCTAACTCATCACCCTTCCATTACACGCTTCACACTGAACCACATTTGCTTCCGATCCGCAGTGACCCCCCCCCGTCCTTTTTTTTAAACTGCAGTCCAATAATGCTGACATGGTTAGGAATCGGAAGTAATGGCTATTGCGGCCAACTCCCTGAGAAGCGAGTGCTCGGAAGCCTAGAACGTCCCTCCCTCCTTAGCAACATCGTCCCCTCTAGAGGCCCTGCTAGCCAAGGGCCAGCGGCACAAAACCACGCATCCCTGGGCTTCTACTCCTTGGCTCCTGCGGCGGCGGCGGCGGCTGCTATAGAAACACCAGTCGTACACATTGGGCTGAAATTAAACACCCATCCGGGACGAGGACCGGAGCCTGGCTCGGCCTGCTGCCTCGGTCGCCATGGCAACATGCTGGGACCAGGACAGCGAGCAACCAGCGCGGCGCGGGGATACTCACTCCATCGCGGGGCTCCAGGCGGCCCGGCGTGCTGCTGCAGGGCTCACTGGCGCTGCTCGCATCTGCCGGAGCCAGGCGCTCTGGCCGCGCCGCGCGCGAGGTGGAGCCGGGAGCGTCTCCCCTCCCGCCCGCACCCCCTCCTCCCCTTGAGGGTTGAAAGTGAACGCTCAGGCTCACTCAGCTCCCAGCCTGCGAATAAAACGGGAAGCAATTGGATAATGTTGTTCGCTGGGCGCTAGACAAGCCACTCCACTTAAGTGTTTCGGGGAGGGAACGCGCTGGCAGCTGCGCGCCAGGCGTTGTGGCCACCAACACGCAGTGCCTGGGCACCCGAGGCACCAGGTGCGCCGGCGGCTCTCCTGGGACTGGCGGCACAGCACAGAGACACAGAGACGCGAGGGACTGGTGGGAGGGGGAGATGGGCGGCGGCGGCTGGTGCCACAGCCCAGAGGGTCAGGGAAACGATGGAGTCACTGCAAGGTTGCAGCTCTGGCGGTTTGGAAGTTGCAAGAGAAAGAAGCATCTGGCCTCTGCAAATATCTGGTACTGCCCCCAATGGGCTGGGCATAGGTTCGAAAACGCCATTGTGTCAGCCCAGCAGGCATCTGTCTGAGTTTCCCAAGGAAAAACTCCAGCCGCGTTGCGGCGCGTTAATGCGGCGTTTCATCACTTTGGCGACCCTACGCCCTTATATCACTGTACATTCTGCGTATTCCCGCCTATCAGAAAGATACTGTCCAGCGTTACTCTCCCTAGTTCGTCCTTTGAAAACAATAAATATATTAAAAATGGTTTCCAAATTACCAAGGCCCCACCCCAGAGTTATATACCTCCCTGGGGCACGTAGTCTCTTCCTAACCCCCTCTGAGAATCCCCTACTCCTAAAGGTTTCCAGAGTGGGGAGCCTGGCTCCCATCCAGGCGCCCGGCACCTGCTGCAGTGAAGAGTAGATGGGACAAGCTTCAGGCTCGTTATATCTTATTGCTCAGTCCTCTGTGAGTAGGTTTCTCCTAGGCTCTGAGGATGCAGCCCAGTCATAGCCATAACAGTCCCTGCCCTAGTGAAACTCACAGACTATAGTAGAAAGACAAAGCATAGGGAAAAAGAAAAGCAAACATATCACCACAGGCTGAAAATATTACTATAAAAACTAAGTGATAAGACATTGTGATGAATTTTTAAAAATTAACTTTGTGATGATGATTGCACAACTCTGAATATACTAAAAATCATTGAATTGTACATTCTGGGTGAATTTTATGGTATTTGCATTTTATATTAATAAAGCTGGTTTAAAAAAAATTACTGTGCTGGAGATTAAAAGGGCAGTGTACCTGATAAGGTAAGGTATTAAGAAAAGGCCCCCCTGAAGAGATGGGCCTAAGAAAGCAGAGGGCTGGGACATGCCAGCCGCAGGGGAAGGGCAGTCTAACCAGCCATCAGCTTGTTTGGTGACTCTAGATGGGCAAGAGCTCTATCCATTCAAGGGGCAGGAAGGAGACCCGTGCACCATGCTCTGGGTGGATTCACTGCTCCTACTTTCCCTCTGGAAAGGGAGCCATAAGTCAAACCCAATGACAATTCACAGAGTTGTTTTGTGGAAAGAGATTCTGGATCATTCCCCGGTTTCCACTCACAGGGAATCTTAGTGTGAATTTGGAGATCATAAAACCCACCCTTAATGCATGTCCCTCTCCAGCTACCATCCTATCTCTACTCTTCTCCTTCTTAGTCAAGCCTCTTGACAGGGTTGCCTATACTGTAATCATCATTTCTACATCCTCACCATCTCTACAGCCTTGTCTCCTATGTACTTCTGTAGCATATAGTAGGATTAAGTTCTGCTGTGGGTAATTAAGAGCCTTAACCAGGAAAAACATTTGTTTTTCTACCTCTGAAAAGTTCAGAGACAAGCAATCCCGCACCCGTTTAACAGCTCTCAAAGGCCTAAGAGACCCAGCCTCCTCCAAAATGTTTCTCTGCCCTTTGTGTTCTCCCTTCGTAAAGTCACTTCATGGCCCAAGTTAGCTGCTTCAGCTCCAGCCATCATGTCTGCATTCCAACCAACAGAAACGTGAAAGGAGCAAAGAAGAAGGAACAAAGGAAGCATGCCAGCTGCCTCTTAAGGAAGGCACCCAGAAGCTGCCATAAGAAATTTCCACTTACAGCTCTTTGGCCAGAATTCAGTCACATATTCATAGTCAGTGTCCAAGGAGACTGGGCAAAGCAATCATCATTCTGAATAGTTATAAGGCTAGCCAAAGATTGGGGGCTCCATTCCTATAAAAGAGGAGGAAATGGGCATTGGAAGACAAATAGCAGTCTTTACCATATGCCTGAGTCCTTAGCATTCTAGTTTCTACCTCCCCCATGCCACTGACACTACTCACCAGTCATCAATGCCGAATGCATTGGGCATGTCTCAGTCATCTTCTTGCATGATTTATGAGCAGCATTTGATATTGTGACTATTCCTTTTTGTTTGTTTTTATATTGAAGCAGATAGTAGAATTCATACTTTTTTAGGAGGACTGGTCTATGAGTTTGGATAGATTATACTGTCACAGAACCACAAAAATAGTCACAATATAGAACATTACCATCACCCCCCAAACAGTTCATTTGAGCCCCTGGATAATCAATCCCTCCTCCCACCTCCAGCCTCCGGCAACCACTGACCTGATTTCTGTCCCTGTGGTTTTGCTTTCTCCAAAACATTATATAAATAAAATCAAGCAGTATGTAGCATTTGTGTTCAGCTTTTTTCACTGAGTGAATGCTTTTGAGAGTCATCCATGTTATTGTATGCACTGGTAGCGCCTTTTAGTTACTGAGTAGTATTCTATTGCACAAATGTACCATGATTTATTTATCTATTCATTAGTTGATGGGCTGTCAGGACAGTCTTGACGTATTTTTTCTATGTTTTTCATATCAAAAATGCATCATGACTTTTCCGACAACCCAATAGATCGTTTCCAGTTTATGGCAATTACTAATAAAACTGCCATAAACATTCCTGTACAGGTCTTTATGTGATCATATGCTTTAATTTCTTTTGGGTAAGTACCTAGGGTCACTCCTTCCACCTTGAAAAACTGTCTTCTATGATGTCACCCTGTCACAACTCTAGCTACCCCTTCTCTGCTACTTGTCTCTTAAATCTTACAGCTCTGCAGGGTCTAGCCTAAACTCTCTTCACATTCACTGGACATACCCTCCCTGGGCAATTTCATCTACTTTTGTGGCTTTACTTAACCACTCACATGGTGATTTCTTCCACAATAGCAGCCCACATCACTCTTAAACTACAAAACTGAATATTCAAAGGACATTACATCTTCGCAAATACCTCACACCCAATATGTCCAAAATGCACTCATTATTTTCACCTGTAAATCTCCTCCTACTAATCTGCCCACCTATCCTAACAACAGAGAGGGAAGTGTCCATGCAGAAACCTGGACATCTTTGTTTCCTCACCATCCTAAAATCCCATATCTAGTCAATCAACAAGATTTGCTATCTTCCGAATAGTCACAGAGCCCGTTCACTTCTCGCTATCCCTGCTGCTGGCTCCCTTCTGGCCTCCCCGCCTCTTGTCACAGCTTGTTCTAACCCATTCAACTGAACAGCCAGAGCAATCCTCCAGAAACACAAATCAAATCCTATCATCCTTTTGCCTAAAACCTTTCAATGGGCAGCTCTTTTTTTTTAAAGTTAAACTGAATTGTAGGTGCATCCTAAGTTTTTTGAAATTGGTAGATTGACTATTACAGTTTTCAAATGCAATAGAAAAAAAGAATTATTTCATACAGTTGGCTTATACCTTATTATGAGTCATAAATACATCACTTGCTATATTTAACTGTAGGACAGTCTTTAGAGTCAAAGAGATTTTGGTTAAAATTGCAGCTTGGTCATTTACTAGCTTTATGATTTTGGACCCATTACTTCACCTAAGTCCCAGGTTTCTTAACCTATAAAATAAGGGCAGTAATACTTATCTTTAAAGGATGGTTTGAAAATTAGATACAATGTGTATAAATTGCCTAGCATAGTGCCTGATGCTTAGTAGATACTCAATAAACAGTAGCTATAATAACTTATTATTATAATACCATCATCATTATTACATTGTAACTCTTCTCTGTAATATCAAACATTTTAACAGCTATATATTTACTTCATAGCATCCCTTTGAAGAAGTGGAACCAATATAGATATAGGTCCTTAGAAGATCAATTTGTTTATTCTCCTTGATTAAATAAGAATGTTACACTAGATGGTATAGTTATTTATTCATTAAAATAATACAGATATATCAGTAAATGTAGCATAGCTACAAAGTAGCAGGATATGGCTATGTATGTGGGTTCACTGACCCACATGCTCTAATAGTTTATTCATTTAAGCTTAGCTCACTGGGTACTGTTCGCACACCAATTGCACATTAATACCTCTCTAACTTGGAAGTCAATAACTTTTTTTTTTACAACTCTACCTCTCTGAAATTTAGTCTAGAACCAGAAAATAAAATAATAATATCATAAAGTCCATGCCATAAGCATTTATTCTTAACCTTCTTAGGGTCATAACTTTCTTGAGTATCTGATGATAACTATGGATCCTTCTTCCAGAAAAACACACAGGTGGCACAAACCTACATTGCTTGCAATATCAGGTGGTCTGCAGACCATCTGTAGCCCATCTATTGTACATTGGCCTTGGGCTAAGTTCTACTTGTCTAGAGTTCGCAACTTGCTTGCGTATACTTGACTTTATACTTACCCTGCAATTATCCTGTGGGGCAGTTATTATTACCACCATTTTGTAAATGAAGAAACTGAAGCTTAGAGTAGTTAAATGACTTGGTCAGTTTGTATGTTAGCAAAAGTCAAATTCATCAACAAAACCAAAGTCTTCAACCTCCTGGTCTGAAAATAACTGAGCCAGCTCTGAGAGAATAGCTACTAGGATTTTTATGTAGGTGTACTGCATAAGCTTCAGAACAGAAATT